CATTTCTGTTGGAATACACAAAGACTCAATGATAACTCTATTATCTTGGTTACCATTTGTTGCACGACATGCAACAAACTACTATTGTGATTATTTTGGCAGATATTGCAATTTTCAGCAAAATACAAAAACAATGATGATGTGATTTTAAACTTGTTCCTTTACGTCTAGAGAATATGATTTGTAGGCCGGGGCGTCTCTGTAGCACCACAACACTTACAGTGCAAAACAATCTGGCACATTTTACCTTTTATTAAAATAATTGCAGCTTCTGTGATTTGGATATTTGCACTTGGCCATATTGAGATTTAGATTATATTTCGCTTAATTGTGCAGCTGTAACTTGGTTGTACTCATTTAACCAGGAGAGTTTCTTTGAGTTTTGGAAATGCTTCTGTTGGTCTGGGCAATAAAACCTTAGTTAAATGTACCAACGATGGACTTGGTTTGATAGAAAGTTCGATAGTCTCACGGTTGCATGAACACAAACAGCCAATCATGTCTCTCGTTAAGGGAGCTTGCTACGAGAAACAGCCAGTCATTTAACAGTTGGTTGTTCGGTTGTGGAGAGTGAATATGAAGAGGACAGGTCAGCTCAGAGTGGCAGTTTTCTGGTTTCTTCAAGCCTGACTGATATCAGAGCACAGCTGCAGGAAAAGTGTCCCAACCAAGAGCGGGAAAACAAACTTATTTTATCACCTTCACCACCTCCACCTCTTGGATTACACAACATCTGCTACATCTGAAGAAGCAGCCCACCGACTCCTTGATGGAGAAATGCTCAGCAACAACACCATATGACAAAATATCCAAACGCTACAGGGACACAACCCAGACAGCAGTGTACTACTTTTTTCCTGGGGCCAGTTACACAAAACACCTGAAGTTAAGATTTCCTTAAAGTGTGCACTTAAGTATTTAAGGTTTTCTCCTTGTCTTAGTCTTAAGGAATCACTTAAAGTCAGTTAAACCTTAGAGACCAAACTAAGGGGAAACTAAAGGTTCCTGACAGTCTGAACTGTAACTGTCACAACAACATGAGGATGACACAGCAGCAGCGCTCTTCTTTAATGTTCCCAAAAGTCATCGCAGGTATCACAAGTGCCAATGGCAGCAAGTTAATGTTCTCCATGGAAACACCAGAATTTTACCGCTGTAAAATCTCTGTCACTGCTGCAAAATGCCTTAACTTCTTTTCTTAACTAAGGAAACATTTAAGAGATTCTGAGCAACACCCTTAAGTAACTCCCTCAGCTAAGGAGAAATTAAGCCCTAAGTGTCATAGTTAAGTAGAAACATAAAGGTGTTTTGTGCAATTAGCCCCTGGTCTTTATCAATATCGAGCGATGTGAAAACGTTTATCATGGTGCTCCACTGGTCAGTCCCCCCCACCGTCTGTTCAAAAGTAAGAGTAGGACTGTTAACACAGAATCATGACTCGTCCCCTTTGGCCATTAAAATATTTTAAAACTCTGAAATTGAAATGTTGTGATTTCACACTTCAGACTGTTGATACAGCCCGAGCTTCAGTTACCATGGTACTTGTCACACTTGTACCGCTGCTAAAGAGATTTAGCTGCTGGTGCTCAGTGTTAGTGACACTTGAGTTTCATGGTGGACACGGCCAGAATACCTGGAGCTGGTATGAAGGAGACTAACAGGAGATGTATTACTTCAGGTCCACTGGGTTCACCTCATGTGATGAAGCATCTAATGAGGCAGCGTTCTAATGAACTTCACATTGTTTTGATGGAGGTTTGAAGTGGTTGGTGTTGCTGTTAAACTGCGGTACTGCCCAACAAATGTTTCTATTTATATCTAAACTCCTGCCATGTTGTAATTAACAAGATATTTTTGTAGAGCTGTGATGATTTCCTTCTTGTTCACTGATTATAAGAAACATCTGTGGCCGTGTAATTAAGAGCTGAGCAGGATTTCTCAAGGAAGCACAAAAAAACAAAGATAACTGTTGTCATGTGACGTTTGTGTAGAGACAACTGAAAGGCAGTATATATAAGTTTATAAATATATAACGGCATCACTCTGTGGACATAACAGTCTGTGGTGGTGAATCCTCACTCTACAACAGTATTAGGGACACTGAGGAAAAAAGAAATCTGAAATTTCAACAATAAAGTCATAATATAACTTTATAGTAATAATAAAGTAATATTACAAGTATTAAAAATGTGAAATCTTTGACAGAAAAAAACAATTTTTAGGAGTATTAACATCAACCAATCAAACGGGTGAAAGGACAGTTAGTGGCAGCTGCTGTTTGTCTACCACTAGAATAGACTCAGTTTATGATGATGATGATGATGATGATGATGAGTCAAAAGATGAAGGATCTCCTTATTAGTAAACCTACAGTAGAACTTCACAGGATGTTCCACGTTCCTCATTTTAAAGCTTTTTAAAGCTGTTTCCTTCTAAAACAACACAGAACCTTCTTCAACTTTATTATGATTTTCTTATTGAAATTTAATAAATATTATTGAAATATGACTTTATTCTCAAAATGATGAATTTATTCTAATAATATTATGACTTTTTTCTTGTAAAACTACAACTTTATTCTCTAAATTACAACTTTATTCATGTAATATGACTTTTATTTAGTAATATGATTTTATTCTCAAAATCTGAGATTTTTGTTTTCCTCAACGTGGCCCTAACTCTCCAGCGTATCACCCCGCCTTGCAGTGAGATAGAAAACAAACGAGGAGAGTAGTTTCATTTGTTCTGTTTCTCGTTAATTTCCACGCTCCTAACTCTTTCAGTGGTATTATCTTGGAGGGGACCTCAGCCTTCACAGCACATTTGTATCAAAATCATCAGAGCAGCGTGATAGAGCAGCGGGCCGCTCTCCCTTGTCTTGGCTCAGAAAGAGCCTCAGACCTTCATACACGTATGCTAGCAGAAATGCTAATTGCAGTAATGATTCTTGTCTGAGCGCTGCTACAGTGTGGCGGATATAAAAGCGAGTCGACAACCTGTGACGGCCCCCAGCTCTCGGCGCCGCGCTAAAACACAAACTGTGGTCGCCCGCACTAAGAAGGGACGTGGTCGGCAGCTGAACGTACCCCCCACCCCCCACCCCCAAGCCCCCTCTTCCGTGGGCCATAAGTGCATCAGCGCTTGGATTTGTGTCATCCATAAAAGAACACAGTGGGGGAAAAAAGCAGCACTCGGGATCCTGGCCCCCTCAGACCACCCCCCCCCCGGCTGACTGGGTTGGGATGCTTGGCTGAACCTGAAAAGCCATGGGTCAGGTCTTTAACCCTGCCCAATGGTGATTACAGAAGAGAACAAGGCCGTCTCAATCGCCAGGCTCCGGGCCGACCTGTTGTAAAGTTGCTGGTTACAATGTGAATCTCAGCTTTTCTCTCCGGCCAAAATATTCATACAAGCCCCCACCTTCTGTTCGTCCCGTCCCACTGGGGATCTGCCATGACCAATCGGACAATGCCTGCCAGCAGCTGCAGACTTAAGATGTCCTCCCTACACAGTGTGTTTTTTTTAAACTGCTGTTGGGGTTGCATTTTCTGTGCCTGTCATTGCTTCATTTATTAGAGAGGAACATTTTTCAGCTCTTTTATTGTTGACATAATTTTTGTTGTTTTGGGTTTTCAGATTTTCAGATGCAGGATTTTATAATTTTATGTGTCCCCACAGAACACCTGCTCCTCCACCCTCCCTCCAACTGTTTGGGTTTATTGAACGTACACTGAATGTGAACTGCTTCCTATGTGTTGAGACCCATGTTACTGTCACATAAAGATTATGTTAAAGTTTTAAATTATGTTAAAGTTTTAAATTGTTATGATGTACAGAATAACTGGTTTATTACGTATATGTAGAATCCAATTAAATGCAATACATAATTTGACCCCAACAAATCCTACCATAGTGAAACTTGTGGTGTGAAGCTGCACAGCCTAAAGTCGCCCTCATTCACAGCGGTTTAAATCTGTATAACAGGTTCATAGCTCAGCATCATGAAAATAAAGTTTATTTTGTAAATAGTGTTTTGTACATTTGTAGAGACGGGAGGAAACCAAGATATCTAAATGTGCTTTTTGGATTTTTTGAATGTCCTGCATGTGATAATTGAGGTTATTAGACGTGGGGTTGGGTGACGTCGTCATGTTCAGTCAGTGTGTTACCTGCAGTAGATTCAGTTCGAGGAGCAGCAGGTGCTGTGGGCGGGGTCAGCAGAAAACACCTGTAGAAGAAACAATTCAAGCTTCTTTCCTTTGGCACTACATTTTCCTCAACTGCTGAACTACTGTATTCCTACACACAAGCGCACCTACAGCGCAAATGAAGATAAAATAGCATAATTTTTAATAGTAAAATATTAGATAAAAAGAGGAGATTTTTGGAAGTGAGAAAAAAACTAATAAAAGTAGCAGTTCAGATATAATACCAAACCTAGAAATAAATAGAAAGATAAATAAAAGCCAATTAAAAGCCAGACCAAATAGGTCGTTCTTGAGTTTGTCCTGAATATTTAAAATAAAAAGTGCTCTGAGAACGTGTTATTTGTCCTCTGTATTGCTGTGGGGACATGAGCTGGAAAGGTTGGGGAACCCTGATGTAAGACAGTTGCTCCCAAACTTTTCCATCTCATGAGCCGTTGAAAACCTCAGATGTTGGCGACCCACATCCGACCCTGAAGTAATGCCTCACAGCACTTTTTATTTTAATGATAACGGTAACAATGATAACTGTTTTATTTGACAGGTAGAGATCACGTGTTGATTCACCGTCTGTCCTTTTAAGTCCTCCTGTTGCTAACCAACTATTCACTTTGATAGCAAACAAGTAAACGATGCGGTCCAGCAGCACCAACATGAAACTTCCTATGATGCTCACAGTGATTGGCCTTAAAACGAGAAGAAATTTAAAAGAGGAAAGATTTAAAACATTTAAACATTTGTATTTTTATTTTTCACCAAAATTGCAGCCTACTGGCAAATGATTTGATGGCCCACATGCAATACCTTTGTGGCTCACCAGTGGGTCCCAGCCCACAGGTTGGGATCCGGTGATATAAGTTATATATATCCTGAGATCCAGGATTCAACACTCTGTCAGTCCTTGGCTTCATATGTGGTTTCAGGATGTGTGTTCACATGGTGTTCCTGTGTCTCTCATTGCAGCAGGCCAATGAGGCGCTGCATCACCAGCACCAGGTCGCCGGGAACAGCCTCTTGCCTTTGCTCAATTCTGGGACGGAGCCACCTGATCAGAAACCGGTGCTGCCCATTCCCTTGGACCAGAAACCCCCCGTCAGCGCCGCAGAACTTCTTAAAGACAATGTGGCCAGTGGGGTAGGGGGAGGCGGTGGGCCTCCTGTCGCCGTGGTCAAAAAGGAGCCTAAATCAAAGACGCCCTTCATCTGCGGCTACTGCAACAAGGCGTTCCGAGACAGCTACCACCTGCGGCGGCATGAGTCCTGCCACACCGGCATCAAGATGGTCTCGCGGCCTAAGAAGACACAAACAGCCCCCACCATGGTGCCGCTCATATCCACTGTACCGCGTGAGAATAGTGCAAACCCCTCGTACATCACGACTGTAGCTGGTATCCTGACTACAGCCACCACGTCAACATCCACGGGCACGAGTATCATGACTCCAATGCAGCACCAACAGCAGCAGAGTCTCCCCAAGAAGCCCCCCAAGCCGGTGAAGAAGAACCACGGCTGCGACATGTGTGGTAAAGCCTTCAGAGATGTGTATCACCTCAACCGCCACAAGCTGTCGCACTCTGACGAGAAGCCGTTTGAGTGTCCCATCTGCCAGCAGAGGTTCAAGAGGAAGGACCGCATGACGTACCACGTCCGCTCCCACGACGGCGGAGTTCACAAGCCTTACATCTGTTCTGTCTGTGGAAAGGGCTTCTCCAGGTACGTGATCATTAATCCTGCACTTTATGAAAGGTGCATGAAAACAGTCATCGTTGATTTTGATAAAGTTCATGAAAAATATCTTAAGACATCCGAGCATAAAAAAAAAGGATGTCCCAATCAAGTTTCTCGTCTCTTAAAGAAACATAAAAAATTTGAAGTTTTATTGGAGCCTGATATGATAGTTTAACTGGAGAATGTGATTCCTTGAGAGAAGATGATTTATTCTGTTGTGCATTGATTTTACAGAGTGGAGCATCTTCCCTCACAAAAGATCTTTGGCTGGAGACAGACACCAGCTTCCAGAGAGCACTTTAAATTTATGTGTCCAGCACATTATCATACACAGGGGCCATCCAATGTGCTTAACAGAAATAAAAGAAACATTAAAAATAGATAATTCAATTAAGAAATTAAAAATTAAACCAGTTTAATTTTGACAAATTTATATTAATGTGCAACAGCTAACACTATCTGCCGTTTGACATTTGTCATTTTAACCAGTGAAGGTGCTAAAAGAAAAAGGTTGTTTTATTTTGTCTGGATATCGAGACTAAGAGACACTTGCACCTGTATGCACCAATCATTTTTCACATTCACACAATAAAACTTACTCTCAGGTGAGTGATACACTCACAGTGCTGTCATAAAGGAACAGTGGCGGACTGAGGTGGATAAAACACAGTAGAGTTTTATTAACTTTAACGATCAGACCTGGTATTGATCTGTAGGATGGAGCTCAGGGCATCTGTTAAACTGGAGCTGACCTGAGTAAAGTTTTATTTTATCTGTTTTTTGCTCTGATAAGTATCTTGTTTGTCTTAGTTGTATTTTAATTTAAAAAATCTGGACTTAACTACAGAGAGTTTGGTGTAGCTAATGTAATATTTGGGATTCATTATGTACGTGGGTGTGTTCATTCATTTATGATAAAGTTTGTACCTTTTTGTGATTTATTGTGGTTGGAAATTTACACAATTAGCTGTAAAACTGCACTAAAATGTATGACTTTGATTGTTATTGTTGATTGGTAATCGGTAATTATGTGGAAACGAGTCCCTGCCCCTCCCGGTTCTCTGGTGGAGACATGATAAACCTCGCCATGTCTCCTCTGTGGACCGGCTTTGATCAGTATCACGTCTGAGATGTGTGTCGCTGTAAAATGCTCTGCAGTAATCAGTCATGTGGATGGAGCGATCCTGCTTGCAGAGCTGAAGATGAAGGATTAACATTTTCTTCCTGGTCTTCATCTCTCCCTCACAGACCTGATCACCTAAGCTGTCACGTCAAGCATGTCCATTCCTCAGAGAGGCCATTCAAGTGCCAAGTAACGGTAAGAGCCATGACTCCTCTCTGCAGTGTTGCCTTCATGTTCCGTCTGTGTGTGGACTCTATACTTGAACAGCTGGCCAGTGAGTTACTGCTGGTAACTGCACGTTACTTCTTGTATGAGTTCCCTCTGCTTTAAAACAACGAGGTAAATGTGCTGTAGTGGCTCCAGTCAGTCCAGGGTCACAGACATGTTGTTTCTTCATGTGAAACTAGAGAATCAGCTCTTTCTACCAAGCCCCTGTTTGTCTGAGTCTCCGCCTTCAGTCCGTAAACTGGACGGCCTCACCGTTTATGGATTGATTCTCATCCGCCATCTTTGCTACTGACGTCTAGAGTCGCGCCACTGACATTCCTATTGGCTCCACTGGGAGCTGTCGCAGCCAATCAGAGCGCCTGATTCAGAGGCTTGGCTGTCAGTTGTTATAAACCCAGACTAATGGGAGCAGTGCTGTTTTACTGTGAGCTCAGAGTGAGGAGACAGACACAGACAGAAGACGAGACCAGTCACATATTTAGAGACATTTTTCATGAATACTGCTCCAAAGGAAAGAATAACTCATGATCAGATAAAGATGGAAACTTTAGATCGCCTCTAGAACAATCCAAACACGTGAGTTTTCTTTTGTTTTATGGTTTACAGCTTTTATCTATAAAATAAGGAAAAATTCAAGGTCTGTTCCTGTTCCACTGTACAGAAGTCTTTACTGAGTGACAGATAATTAGCTGAGGTTGAGCTCATTCAGAATATGTGCAAAAAAAGCAACTTTACAAGGCAAAACACAAAGCAATGAAAAACCAGGAAAAGTCTTAATGTGGGTCTGAGGATTGAATGGATTAAACCAGAGCTTGAACATAGAAGAGAGGACGAGCATTTCACACCTATCTCCCTGTTATGGTGTCACCGCTCTGTTCCCATGTCTTCGTATCACAAAGCATTGATAAATATTTTTTTCCTTCCAACGTGTTGATGTAAGAATCCCAGTCACAGGTTTCTGTTCCTCAGGTGTTGACTGTTTCTCTCTCTCTCTCAGGCCTGCACCTCTGCCTTCGCTACCAAAGACCGTCTGCGCTCCCACATGATCAGGCACGAAGGCAAAGTGACCTGCAACATCTGTGGCAAGATGCTGAGCGCCGCCTACATCACAAGTCACCTCAAGACGCACGGCCAGGCCAGCTTCAGCAACCCATGTAACAACAAAGGTAGGTGGCTCCTCACATCACAGCCACGTTTTCACTTCAACAACCAGCAGCTCCGCAAAGAGCAGCACTCGGTGACAGGAAGAAACCTCCAACAGAACCATGCTGAGGGGGAGGGGGGGCATGAACAGCTGTATATACTGTTGATTGCTAATCGTAAACAGTATAAATAAGTTATACCCATAGGTAGTGGTGTTATCACATGTACTGTTGATTGTCAGTTGCTATAGTGGAAATTTTAATACTGATACCTATAGGTAATGGGGTTATCAATAATATTAATTAATCCCTGGGTCTGTTTGGAGAGTTAAAAACCTGAAGGAATCCAGGAGAAACTGACTGCAGTGGTGCAGAAGACAACAACTCCCATGATGCCACACTACTTACCTACAGTGATATTTAAATGAATGATGAAATAATATCATATATAAGGTATTACATAATATATATATATATATAAAAGGTACATATTATCTTAGTGTCCAGTCCCCAGCAGCTCCCCTGTGTGAGACAGGTGAGAGGGAGAGAGGTGAGGAGGGGCTGACTGAAGCAATGAGCTGTCTGCAGCTCTATAATGAAGTTAGATTTTACCCATTCGAAATAATAACAAAAATAAATAGAAGATCAATATGTGGAGGTCAGTGTTGATGTTGTGGCAGCCACCACAAATAAATCAGTGTATGGGAAACACTCACCTGGTCTTCTCAGACCTTTTTTAATCACGAGTCGAAATACAAGTTGAATTGGAGGATCATGTATCATCTGTCATTATTATATTATTATATCATTAACACCACTGCTTTATTTTTCCTCTGAATGAGGTTGAACAAACACGATGATCAAAGATGAGTGAGAATAAAAAGACATGAATGTCATCAGTCACTTTAACTACAACAACAGTTTGTTCATTTACTGAAGCTCCAGGAAACTCGTTAATGATCATTTCCATCAGATCTTAAACTTGAGCTTCTGTCCTCAGAACAAACCTTTTACTCTTTGTAGGACGTTGCTCATTTAAATGTGTCAGTTTTGATGTGTTGTCAGTGTGATGATAGTTTCTACTCCTTTAAAAGTACGAAGTCTCACTCTGAGTTGAATTTATACTTCAGACTAAGAATGGAAAGTTTCTACCTGACTTGAGAGAGACGAGTATTTTTCCCTCTAACTGTGGAGCAGCTCCTGTGTTCGCTCTTGCTCGTGGTCTCAGTGCTGCACATTAGAGCCTGCAGCTCATCTGACACACAGATCCAGTCAGCAGTTACCTTTACAACATTTCACTGAACAGAGTTTGAAATCTAGTGTTTTTGACCTTTAGATCACACAGCCATGACACTCACAGTTATTAACCTTAAACTTGTTTCCTACTAAAGCTTGCTCCTCTGTGATTGGCTGTCCATGATCACTTATAAAACAGTTTTCTTTTGGTTTTGTTGGCCTAGAATAATGATCTGAAACAAGCTCCCTGCGATGGAGGATTTATATTCTTCATATTATCAAATGTTTTAATGGATCTTTAAGCTTCCACAGCAGAGAACACCATCTTTACATGATGATGCACAGTCCGCACAAAACTTTAACATAAAACATAAAAAAACATTAAAAAAACCTGTGTGTGTGATTGCACACCAAACATTTGTAAATTTACTATAAATTAAATTAATTTACTATCATAATAGATAGAGGCTTTATGAGCCTGAAGTTTCCTGACAGGAAATGTATAAACCAGCATTTCTACACTAAGAACTTCAAGGCAGAACATTTCAGACTCTGTTGCTTTGATTGTGACCATTCATTTTTTTTAATCCGTCTTTTGTGAATTCAAGAACTTTTTTGAAGTGCAGCACTAAATCACTTCAGTGGCCCTCGTAAGGATACATGTATTATATGTCATAATTGATGTGAATGTAAATTCATTTTGATGTGGTGTCGCGTCACTTTAGAAGTGACTAAACGAATCTCTCGTCTCAAAATGAGACGCAGCTTCAAGCTGAAACAAAGAGTCATTGAAGATTGTGTCTTGAAAGCTGCTTAATGAAAACATCGTTTTACTAAACTGAAACATTTAAATGTCCCAAATGCTTTTAATCATAAAGTGATTATTATATTTGTTTGATATTCTGCCTTTGGTTTCAAACAGTGAAACATGATAAATGTTTAATATTTAACACCCCCACCCCACTACTGTTGAAGATGCCTCCCAGATGACAGCACTGCTGCCCTGTGCTCTTGTAACCCCATATGTGTCTGTATTTCTGAATAGGCATAAGTGACTGGCAGTGGAACCACTCAGGGCCACGAAAAGGTAATCCAGTAGCTCGTAGCAGAAACCCCTTAACACTCAATCATAACCTGCAAAAGTGGCCAGTTTTTCTTGACGTTGTACCAGAAACCTTTTTTTTTCTTTTCTCCGAGGACTGGTGTAGTTAAAGGTCTCTCTGTTTTGCTAATGTAAGGTTAAATTTCATGAAGCAGGATCAGTAGATGATTGAAATTAACCACAGACTGGACCATAACACTGAGGCTGGATCCACACCACCTGACCTGAAACCAAAGGCCAGACTGCATCACCCGACTGACTGTGAGCTGATTGATGAATCACACACTTACTATTCAAAGGAAAATATCATGTTTGGTAAAGACTGGGATTTCCCATCAGTGAGCCAACAGGGCCTGTATGTAGGGCTGCTCGATTATGCCAAAAGTAATAACCACAGTTATTGAACTCGATTACTCATTGACTTTGGAAAAAACACGCATTTATTGAACTTTGTATTTTTAACAGTGGACTTTCTTCAACTTTAAATACAGTTTGACGGAAAAACTAATAAAAAATATTTTTTTATTAAATGTTTAAGAAAGTCTAGTGTGCACGCAACACAACACATCAACACTGGCAGCAGCTTGTTGATAGTAAAGCTAATATTTAACCACCAATAACAGAAAAAACAGGATAAAAACAGATTTCTAAATTAAAAATGTTCTGTCCACGTAGTTTTTCCGGTTGTACATGATATTTCAGAGCACAGACACTGGACACACCTGTCACCTGTCCAGCACGGCGCTGTTAAACCACAAACACAGTGGTGGCTACACTGCACACGAGTATGAAAGAATGAGCTGCAGCTTCAGAATAAGTTCTAAAAACACAATCACAGATCAGGTGTCTCACAAAGGCTGTGACACTTTTACAGGAGCAAAAACCTGGAGAATGAGACATGACAGATCTGTTTTAACTGTTAGCATGGCGGCTAGCAGCTCACTCTGCGTGTGCTATGTAAGTGTGTTCTCTGTCCGCACAGAAAGATAAACTCGACTGGCAGTGGAAAAGGGCTTGGTGGGCTTTTATTAGCGGCTTTACCCACGTTTTAAAAAACCCGCTTATACCTGCTAACTGTGTTGAAAAAGTGCATGTTAGATTGGAGTCTCTGAACGGGCAAACTGCTAAAGATGAATACAATAATCGTTTCATCTGGATTATCTTGTTTTCATAATCGTCAGAAACCAAAATCATAATGGAAAATAAAACTGGATGAATCGGCCAGCCTTATGTTCTGGCCCTGAACTGATCTGAGACGGTCCTGCAGTGTGGTGTGAATCCAGCCTGAGACATACACAGAGCTGAAGATGTCCTTGATAATGTGTCACTGTTTGAACTGAATGAAAACAGACAGTTAGCTGGTTAGTCTATTGATCCTGCTTTTTGAATTTACCCCTCAGGTGAGTTGACGGTAGGAGAGATTTTAAATAACTCCTTCCAAGTCCTAATTGACAACTCTCACAAAGGTAGGTTTCTTCAACAATATTCCCACAGTTGACATCATGTATTAATAATGTGTTGACATTTCCAGTGACCCAGATAAACAGCCCAGGACCTGAGAGGGCTGTGGGCTGTCCTTGTGTTGGAGGGGTGGTATATTTTCACCAGGTGATCCAGCCCTGAATTCACTTCCCTGTCTTTTTTTTTTTTTTTTTAAACAGATGCCAACAGCGTGCACAACTCGGCCACCACGACGCCCGTCACCAACTCGGCAGCCGCCATCACCTCAGCCGTGAACCGCGGTGGCATCACCAGCAACCCCGTCACAATCGCCGCTCAGATGAACATCGCCACCAGCACGGTCAACATCACGTCGCCCGTCAACCTGCAGCACCCCGTCACCATCACTGGCCCCGTCAACCTGGCCTCCGTCAACATCCCCACGACGGCGCACATGAATATCGCCCACCCGGTCGCCATCACCACTCCCATGCCCATGAATATCACCGGGCCCCTCAACATCGCTATGAGGCCCATGGATAGCATGCCTTTTCTATCCCAAGTCCTGCCTTCCTCCCCCCCCTGGTAGAGCTGCTTCAGCCCACGTGACACTGATGATGTCGTAACTGCCCAATAACAGACGAGCCGGTCAGAGCTGTGGAGTCCGAGTTACATTTAAACTAACGTTAGGACTCATTAAAGCTGCCATTGGATGATCTAAAGGGGGGGGGGGTCTCTTCTCCAGATGTGATTGGCTTCCACTCTCAGCAGCTGGCTTTGAAGTATAAACTCTGAGCTCATCAAATCTATTCTATGAATCTATGAATTACCTGACTGGTGTCACATGACCTCATGGGATCCAGTAATTCTGTGTAAATAACAAACGTTTTATACCAAAGATTTTCTAAGTGTTTCCCACTGAATTCTATATTTTGAAAGAAACTGAAAACCTTTAAAGAACGTTTAGACCATGAAGGACAAAAAAATTCTTACAAAATTATTGACGCACCCACCAGTGGAGCTGTGGGGGGGGGGGGGCATGGAGACCCTGTCTGACTGAATAATTAAACGGTAGAAGATGACATGTTCAAATGTTGCTCCTCTCCCAAAACCCATGATTATTATTTCACTAATAACGCAGCTTTAAATCAACGAATTCTTCCACTTTGACTTGGCTTGAATTATTGGGCAGTGACTTCACTTTCAGCTGCTGCGTGTTCACCTGTATTTCTTTTGTATTTATCCCTTTTCTTTCCCCCTTTCTACAAACCTGGGCAGTTTGTTGTACTACGACAGGTAGCTGACGGTTAGCCGGCTCCTTGCAGCAGCGAACGCAGCGAACGCAGCACCTGCTGTGGAGAGTCGAACCCTCTTAGAGCCCTTCTTTCTTTCTCTTCTGTTTAGCCACTGAAGGACATTATTGGTCCCGTACAGGTGACCCGTTCAAACACCTGACTGTACCTGAGGCTCGTTCAACAGCTCCTGCAGTGGACGTCTTGTTGTTCTTGATGCTTCCTCTTGAGGCAGATTTTGTTTCATGTTCTTTTTTCCCTCTTGTTATTTTAGTGGACTTATCAGTATTTAATAGTTCATGTATTTTAAAGTTCAAGTACAAAAAAAAAACAAAGCTTCCATTCTGGGGGAGGGTGAGTGATACTGTGGACACCCCCCCCCATGTCTGTATTTTGAAATTGCTGGAAACCAGTCACTCCTCACTGCTGGATGTTCTACACAAGTTTATCTGTGACATTTGTTTGGAAGTTTTTTAATGTATTTATATCAGGACATGACAGTTGAAGGTACAGCTGCGAGGAGAGCATGTCCCCCAGGTTTTTGCCCTTTAAATGGCAGTATTATCAAAAGTCAGATGAATAAAAATTTTGATTACTGAGGACATTTCTTACCTGTAGAGGTCAAAGAGCTGCGTAGCGTAGCTGCTACGAGAGCAGTCCCAAAGTTACCTGTTGTATGTTGAGCTGGGTAGATGTTTACTTTAGTAGGTGTAGGATCCCATCACTGTCAGTCAAACTCAGGAAGGTTACTGAGAATAGTCTTTTAAAACCATGTTCAACATTTTACACACTGACCATTTCTTTGTAAATATGAGACACTATTTTATTGCCTTTTACCTGTGGGAGAGTGAAGCTCTCTGCTTAGCACAGGCAGCAATGCAAGAACTATATCACCACTGATGTGGCCGTCCATCCGGAGAGGACAGAGACATGAGCAGAGACTGAGGAGAGGACAAGTCTGATTATCAACAGTCCCAGAGAAGGCTGAAAACCAACAGTCTGCTGACAGGTGTCATCTGATCAGCTGCAGCTTCATAGAGGTTAATGGACCTGATCGCTGCTGTCCAGAAACTATTAAAATCACAGGAAGGAGCCATCAACTCAGAGATGAACCCAGTGTCAGACTATGGCTTCCTTTTCATTTTAAAACAAAACTCTTTGTCTACGTTTCCTCCTGCCGTCCACACCCCTCCAGAGTTCTCAAGACCCGGTTTTATTTTGAAAACTATGGGGTTGTGCTTTATTTTGAAAACTCTGGGGTTGTGTTGTAGTCTGGACACAAACTGAGACCTCTGTAAACGATGAGGTCACACCTACGGTCTCTCCTGATTGGCTCTCATCAGCCTGGACTACCAGTGGTGAATACAACATGAATGACAGTGTTACTGACCTTGTTGTCTTTGCAGCTGTTGTTCACTATCATTCTTCAGTAGTCTGGATGGAGAGTTTCTGATACGCAGCTGAACTGCTCATCTGGACAGAGATCACTTTCGTTTTAAAATGAAAACGTAGTAAAGTGGACGAAGCCTAACGCAGCAGTGAAAACCAGAACTGCTCATTTCATCTCCCGCTCTTCTCGATGAAGGTGTTTAGACATCTGTCTCAGGCGCGTTGGAAAGTATCATTTCTGTCGTGCAAAGAAGGATATCCTGCAACTTAGCATCACAAAGTATTGATCATCCTCACGTCGAATGTTTCGGTCTCTAGCCCTTCGTCCAAGGTCAGATGATCATGATGATGTAGAGAACAGTCTGCTGATGATGAGGTTGTGATGCTCCTGTGGATGTTTTCATCAGTTGGTGAACAGAGTTGTGTCGGTGTCGGCAGCTGCACAGATCAGACCTGTCAGCAGCAGGAAGGAGCTTCAGGGAAACGATCATCCAGCCTTGTCCTGCTGTAATCTGCAGTTTCTCTGTCCGTCTCTCTTGCATCGCTCATTGTTTAGTTGTAACTGTTATTTTATTGTCTTTTGTTTTGTTTTTTTTTAAATCCTGGCAGTTTATCTTTACTGGAAAACTGAGGCTGTGATCACAAAGGAGGTGTTGTTTTCCCGCTCAGAGCTCAGGTGTGCCTGAAAGAGCAAAGATGTCAGTGTGTGGAAGTAACATGATTCATGTTGCCAAGCAACACGGGAGTTGACAACGTGCAACCACGTACACACAGTGACAAGATTATATGTAACCTTGCCACTACATCTTACAGCCCCACACCTCTGTCCGGCCTCTGCAGCGTCACCAGTCCTGTCCCATCAGGACTGAAACAAAGCTGTGGTCCAGTGAGTCCTGTTTCAGAGGCCTGAGAGGTTGAATGGATTCTGGTACCAGTTAAACCCCATCATGGTCTCAGGCCCCGTTCAGACCTGGTATTAACATCCGTCTCAGGTGATCTGATCACAAGTGGTCAGCTCTAAGTTCAGGTGTGAGCGCACCTGAGACACCTTGAGGACGCGTTTGAGATCTGATCCCTCAGACTGTATTCAGAGGTGGTCTGGACCACATTGAAGGACGGCCTGCTTCATTGACGTCCTCTGACACATTCTGATTCGTCCCAACAGTTTCATCATCAACCCAAAATATTTTACTGGTTCAAATGGATAAATTTTGTCCTGAAGGTGGACGGACGTCTTAAAGTCAGTGTCCATGTGGTCTGGACTCTGGGACAACTGCTCACAGTTTCAGACTCACCTGAAGAGGTGTCACCTGGCTGTTTGCACTTAAAGCAACAGAAGTGTGTGAAGTTCTTTCACACCTGGCCAATCACTGAGCGTGTGTGATTATGACATCACAACAGGGTTTCCAGCTGCTGTGAACAGTGATAAACCTGAAATACACTGAGGCTTCTGTGAAGACCAAGGTGACAGTGTAACATCTTCTCTTCAACTGCAGCACAAAGTGAATCATGTGTCCATGAGCTCTATGTGAGGCTGAAGTTTCACTCACACCAGGTCCAGGACTTCCACTTGAACAGATTAGAGAATTGTGCTTGTCACAGAGAGCGACTGAACAACGGAGCGAACACGTTAACAATCGTCTCTTTTGTGATCTCAGCCCCAGTTCCTGCACCAGGCTCGCATACTGTCCCACAGTCCCGTGTGTGTGTGTGTGTGTGTGTGTGTGTGTGTGTGTGTGTGTGTGTGTGTGTGTGAGAGAGTGTGTGAAGCCTGTTTGTAGTTGGGCCTTTTTTCAGTGCAGGAACTCTGAAGCACTTGCAGCAAACTGTAGGATGTGCACACTACAGAGGAGTGGTACTTAACCAGGGCATTTCAGTCTGATGGGATGAGACGATGAGCGCTGTTTGTTACAGTTCACCTGGCCACGTCTACGTGTCGGCAGCCCAGATGTTCGGCCCGTCGTACGCATGCCAACTGTCCACCAAGGGAAACGCTCTCATGTGGAATGGCATTATGATCTTGGAAATTGATTAATTTCCCATATTTTGTTTTCTATTTTTTTCCGATGTTGCATGTGGATGACTGAGCTTGTCCAGAGTAGGTTTGAGTTCAACAACCATTATTAGAAGGCTAGTGACTTTTATGAAAACAAAACACTAAAAAAAATTAGGATGAAAGGAAGTATGTGGTGTCATTTGTCCTTCTCCAGTGGCCGTAAACAAGTGTGCCTGAAATACTTTGCAAGACTTTTCCACACGTTGATGCTTCCTCCTCCAGATGTGCTGTGTGATGGAATCGTTTTGTGAAGGAAGCCTTCATCAGTTCAGACTTGCCCCACAGTCTGACAACCAAACTGTTGTGATTAGCTTTTTCTTTCTATTTTTTTTTTAACCTAATGATTGTGAAGTTATCATCTTGTACTTCAGGAACAACCTTGAACCATGAATTGATCTTTATTTAAGTCGAGGTGTAAATGTATCAGTGACATTTAAGTTTTTAATTTGACTCCAACCTAATGTGAAAAACTACAGAAGAAGATTGGGGCCACATGTGATTTTTCTTTTCTTTTCAAGAATTCTGACTTAAAACTCAGAATTCTTATTTTAAATTGAGTTAAAAGTCATAAATCTAAAAAAGAAAAAAATTAATTTCACATGGCCCTAATCTTGTTCCGTAGAAATCCTCTTCCGTAAAAAACAAACCGTTTATTTGGCCAAATAACGAAAGATTTTTTTTTTCTTCTCTGTGAAGTTTTTATGATGAATTTGGCAGATGTGAAGGCAAATGAATGTATATCTTTGTACAAACCATTAGTTCAGAGGACATGTTAGTTATGACAGACACATGCAAGAAAAAAATAACCTTTTATAAAATCTTTTTGTATTAGAACATTAACAATGGTAATTTTTGTATATACGAAGGCTAGGCTTTCTGATTAGCAGAAAGGTAAAACATTCCTACATTTTTTTTAAATGTATGTCCATTGAGAATAATTATGTAAACATAATGCGCAATGTTTTATGTGCCTTTTATTTGGGTTTGTCTAAATAAAAGAAAACAATAAAACATGATTGTGGACTGTCCATGCTGAGTGCCACAGAGGAAAGTCAATACTGTCCATCTCACCTGAATCCCCGGACTGACCCCCCACCCCACCCCACCCCCTGCACTCGCCTACATCAGGAGAGGAGTCTCCTCTGGTTTCAGTTGATTGCTTAGCTTTAGTTGAGGTCTGTTGGAGGCTGCAATGGTTGCTGAAGTCCCGGTGTGTGTGGGTGTCTCTGGTCTCCAGGCTCCTCGGTGACAGGTGGCCCCGCTCATGA